TAAGTTATAGATCCTCTTATCATCTTCTAGCTTTTGTATTATTGCTGTTAAAGTCAGTTTCTCAGCTCCTCTTTTCCCTTCATTTTGCATAGCTTCACAGGTTTTAATTTTTATGTTCAATTACATAGAACTCTTGACTATTTGACATTCCAGCAAAAGATGTCTACTGTCTCATTTTGTTTTATTCATTTATTTTTGTCTTTTTGAGAGAGGGTCTCACTATGCAGTTCAGACTGGTCTTCGGCTCATTTTGTAGGCCACGCTGGTCTCAAACTCATAAAGATCCTCCTATCTCAGCCTCCTGAGTGCGGCAATTACAAGCGTGCACCACCATGTTCATCTTACTGTCTCATTTTAAAATGAATACAAACTTTGAGGATTAAAAGACAGGTGTAGTATGTCGTAGTACGAAAGTCAACAATCCCAAATGCATGTTGCACCAGTGGTACCAGACATAACCTCAGTTCCTTTAGGTATGGACAGTTTGCTTTAAAATTGAATGTCTTATCCCTGAATTTAATAATATATTGTAGAGAAGAAATACTGCCATTTTTCATCAGGTACATAGGAGAAAATAATGCAGAACATATTTAAAATGGCAAGTTGGAAGACTTAAGAGATTGCCATTGTTACAGTTTGCAGGTCTACAGCACAGACATTGAGAACTCATGATCTAGTGGAGCTATTGCTAGGTGTGTCTGGCCACGGGTACTCCAAAGTTTCCATGATCCTGGGCCAAAAGGGGCTGTGGCCTTTGGCGGAAAAGGGGCAGAGCTGTGCTGGGTACAGATGATCAATCCTTGAGAGCTGCTGCTCAGCTCCATCATGGAAGTACTGTGTAATCTCAAACTCCCTGCACAAGCCTAATAGCTCAAATTAATAGCCTAATTAATAGGCAAAGATGCTATTTCCTGCCCCCTCTACACATTTCCACACAGCATAGAATAGCTGCGATGCCCAAGGGTTTGTCCATTTCTACTCTGACAGTGATGGAATCCATCTGTGGGTCCAATCTAGTCCCTTAGATTGTCTTCCCTATGGATCCTTTGAAGATTTGAAGCCTTTAATTCAGTTTACAATTCAAATACCTGGATCCATCATTTATTTGTTATAAAGTGCCTGATTACTGTGATTTCTGAAATTCAGTATCCTTAAACCAAGTTTTTAATGAGTGTTTCTTGGTGAAATGCAGACTACTTTTTTCCTCCTTTTCTCACCCTTCCACTCCATCTCGTTTTCTTCCTCATGCAGTGGTCCTAGGGTTTCAGCTTCTGCTTTTTTTTCATGCAACATTTCAATAAGAAGTTTATTAGTGGCATCCCCACTTTGGCACCCCACTTTGGTAAGGAGGTGTTCTTCATCATGCACACTAATTCCCTGGAGTGCAGGTGGTCAAAACAGTAGTGACCCAAAACTTTGCTGCAAGAGGCTTTGCAAGGGAACACTAACTTCCTCCTGTACATCTTCAACAAGCTGAAACTTCTTGAGGTTTTTGGCATTTAAACTAAAGAGACCAACAGCTTTAGACACACAAACTCTCACTGATCAAACTGTGGGTACCATAATTTCCACCAGCTCCTGGGTGACTCCTGAGGTTGTTCAGGACGGCACGAGCTTCTGATGCTATTATGTGCAGTAACCAGGAAGAGTGACCCTTTTTTCCCACATACCTCTTATCAGTAAATGTGCTTGAGGATGAAGACTGCACTGCAGCAATTCTGAAGCAGTCCCACTTGATTACCAACCTGCAGTTCTCCAAAGATGCTATTTCCTGCCCCCTCTACAATGGAGAAGGCTTAACCCGCCGTGCTGCTGTAGCCCAGATGTGCTCAGGTTTCCATACTGGCGTTGGTCAGCCGGCACCAGCTGCAAATCGGGGACGATTCTGCCTTGGACTTCAGGCTCATTTTATCCAATGTGGAAGGCTTGCTGGAGAGCTGATCGCTAACTGTCCAGATAGGAACAGGGTTAGGATGAACTGGTACAGGGTACTCAGACTTAATGACCCAGCTGGGACAATGGTCACTTGTTGGTAATGTTGCTGGCTGCCCTGAGGGAGTACTGCCATTCTAATGGGGTGGGACAAAAGGCTGTAGGATACAGGGCAGCATGGTTAAGACATGAGGCTTTGCAGGCAGAATGAATGCCCTGAATCACAGACACTGACGGGTCAGAGGGCACTGCTCGCATCACTTGAGACATGGCTTCTATTTGAAACCCCTGGCTCAGATGAGGGATTTTTCCTGCTGCTTCAGAGCCCTGCCTCTTTTATTAGACTTCCACCCAAACTTACACACGCACACCTTAAGCTTTTCTACCTTCATTCCAACATTCAGATGTTTTCTAAATGAACAGGAAGAATGTTTTCTCTGTGTTTAAATTTAGCAGTTCTGATTTTCTATGCCTGGTCACCTTTCACTATTTCAGGCTGTTCAGTTAAAAAATCTCTTGCAGGTTTTATAGGAAGGAGCCCAGAATAATGTCCAGACACTTTATCTGTACATTTGGGAAAAGCACCACATCCTTTTCAGCATGAGACTCAATTCACCATTTTATTTTATTTTAATTTTATATTATATACAGGGATTCACTGCACAGTTCAGCCTCACCTAGGAGTCACTATTTCACCTAGGTTGACATTCAATCCTCCTGCCTCAGCCTTGAATGCTGGAATTACCAATGTGTGCTACAATGCCTGGCTTGTCATTTTAAATTGTGACAACAGATGGCGCTGAAGACAACTAATTTACAGAATAAGTAAAACATCCTTGGACATCAAGGGTCATACACATCGTATTTCTAAATTCAAAAAAAATTGTAGCTTCTCTTGTTATCATTTAAACTGGCTACTGTTGACCACAAGCCCCATAACTCTTTCCATGTTTATGATGTTGGCCTGGTCCCTGGTGATCAAGCCAGTCTCAGAGTTTCTGTCTCCACTTTGAACAGTTGACAAGGTGACCATGAGCAGGACTAGGGGTCAGTGTGGGTCCAGAAGCCCAGCACCTGGACGTGGCAGCACTGATTCTCTGGTGGGAAGAGGGCACTCAGGCTCCCCCGTTTGCACCTCCTTGGAACTGCTGGGCAGCAACTCCGAGCCCCATCCTGGCCCCCACGCTGTGAGGAGGAGGAGGAGGCTGGGGCTGCAGACTCACCCAGCATCTTGATTGTATCACCTTCAAATGGGGCACAGGGAAGGAGAGCAGAGCATTAAATGCTGTCCATAAGCATCAAGAGAGCAGCTCACACACTGTGCTTTCCAGGTTAGCTGGGATGACACATAAACCATCATGCCTTTATAAATAACAGAAGGGCTAACAAATTAATATTCAAAACCCTTTATGATGAAATAGATCCGTTATTTCCGAAGTGAAAAAAAGAGGATGCAGATTGACAGAGACGTAATTTTCTCTGACAGGAAACCAAGAGCAAAAGAAATGCAGGCAAACTGTCAGTGTCCTGATGAAAACCAGTGAGGGGAGTTGGAAAGGAAAGACCCCTGCAGGCAACATTACAAGATCTAAAAATGACTCGGTTTGACCATGAACTATTGCAAGTTCCAACAGTGTGTATCAGAAAAAAATAAACTGTTTCCTTATTCTGAGACTGGGATCGGGAAAAAAACAAGCCATTTTGAAAATTCAGAGTTTTCACTGAAAAAAAAACATAAACAAAACAAACTTCTACAAAGCCTAAATCCTGGCTTGGGAACACAGCAAGCATCTAACCCCAGCCACAGTAGTCTTCCTCCCTAGAAGCTGGCCATGTGATGTTGATGTTCACCTCTTTAGACTAACCAGATGTTCACACACGACAATAAACAATAGCAACAAATCCACAAATGAGAGGAAAATATGACTCAGGAAGGCGACAAATATTGTAGCAAAATAGATCTGAAAATAACAGGAAATAAATACATAAAGACAGTAGAGCAACTACGTTAATTATTCAAAGGCTGGTGGAGGCAACCAGAGAGCAAGAACCTTCAGGAAAGAGAATGGTATCTGGAGAAAACTTCAGTAAAGATTTAGACATTAGAAAAGACAAGGTAAGTTACCCAACTGAAGAGAATGAATGAAATGAATGTACTGCTGCAGATTCTATTACATAATCAAGAAATTAAATCCAAACTGACAACATCAAAAATCTACATTGTTAGAATGACTGATTACAGCCAGGTGTGGTGGGGCGTGCCTGTAATCCCAGGCTGAGGCAGGAGGATCAGGGCAAATTCAAGGTACAGAGTGAGGTCAAGGGCAGCCTGAACTGCATAGTGAGGCCTGGTTTCAAAAGAAAATAAAAGGAAAAAAATGAACTATTGATTATGAATGAATGACATGAATTGTCAGAGAGAAGAGGAAGCTCTGTGACTGGCCTGAGGTACAGGACTGAGTCTGAATCAACAGTGTGCTTCAGAGACAGGTTTAGATTACCAGTAAATACGTAAGACCAACACTGAAAAACCACACAATATTTGGATGCAAGCCTACTGAAAGTCTTAGGAGAAGACAGAAAACAAACCATATAAAATGCAATAGAAAAAAAAAGGAGAAAATACCAGCAAGATTATACAGTACTGGAAACAGGACAAAGAAGATAATAAAAAATCAAATAAAACAAAGTTCAGATATACTTATAAGTCTGATAGCAATTTGAGGTAACCTGCTAGTTTTACCATCTAAAATTATAAATATCTCAAAATTCAGGTTTCAAACTATAAACACATTGAATGGAGGCTGGGGATTTAGCTCAGCGGCATAAGCGCCCGCCTTGCAATCAGGCAGTTGTAAGTTCGATCCGTTGTACTGATAAAAAGGAAAAAGACAAAAAAATAAATAAATAAACACACTGAATTTCAATTTGTTAGTGAAAATATGATTTTCAAAATCTAACAACTGTAAGACACATAAATGAAAATAAAGATTAACAGGAGTATTATTTACACAGGTAAACTAGTCCACAATTGATTCAGATGCTGACCAAATGTCACTCTTGTTTACCTGCCTGTCTCCCCAGAGTTTTGGCGAACCTGGGCCTCCTCCATCCATCCCCTGCAGCAAACCGTGCATCTTAGCTCCACTTTTTCCAGATTCTATGACAGTTTATTCCATACAATTTTTTCTAAGTAAAAAAAAACCAAAAAACACATTTCAGCAATTATGACTGTTTCATCTTCAAAACACAAACTTGCAACTTCTTTAGAATGACACATGTCACGTAATGGTAGCTACAAAAGTATGCCTTCCATCTGTCACAAACCAAATGTTTCACAACAAAAATGCCACCAACAGATTACAATTTGTTGCTGACAACGGTTGCTGACGATGTGTACAACATTCACAGCTACTTAATTTACAAGGTGCACAGTCACACTGGAACCTGTCCTGGAAGTTTCTGCAATTCTAAAAAACACAAGTATTTTCTCAGTTCTTTTTTGTTTCTGCACAGAATATCTCACGGTCAGTAAATAAAGAAGAGGTTTCTTTCCACTGAGAACTGTGGGCTACAGTGAGATATTAAATCTGCTCCCGGCCTTCTGGCTGACAAGCCCTGAGGTCACACATGGGCAGAGTCTGAGTGCAGGGAGAGCCCTCACCAAACTCTCTGTGCCCGTCCCATCATTCACACAAAGCAACTCCCAAAACTATCAATTTCTAAGTGGCTTCTAAGTAACCCAACTGTCTGTATTTACTCATACAATGTTTTTATCACCTAGTCTAGGCCACTGTGAGATAGACTTCATCATGAATTTTGAATGGAAGAATGTACATTTAACCAAAATTGCTTCCACATGACTCATTAATCATATCTTAGACATATATAATTCTTAAACATATATACAATAGTTTGAGGACAAGTCTGCACAGCAATTTGTGTGGAATATTTATACCGCTAGTAGTTAAGTTAGGTAGAGATTCACAGTCAGTGTGAAAGGAACCAGGCCCAGGACAGAGACACTGTTCAGAAGGGGAGAACTGGCTCTGCAGGTGAGGGCTGAGCTGAGAGAAACCAGGCTGAACGCTGCAGACGCCACGGCCAGGCCCACAGCTCACCTCAGGTTAATGGCAGCTACAGTTGTACTGTGACTACCATCATCATCTCAGGAAAGCCAAAGACTGCAGCAGAAAGCACTCGGATGACCAGGACACCCTGAGCCTCACCCCTACTCCTGCCAGGCCTGCACTTGCCGCTCCTGAACTAACAGCTGTAGATAAACCACAGCTTGGGATTCCTGGAGAGGAATATTGCTAAGGGCCTTGTTTCAGTGTTAAATACTGGCTATGCAATTTCACTTCTAGCACAGCAGGTTGAATTTAATTTCCCCCAAGGCAACCTGTAACAGGATTTTACTGTATAAAAATCCCTAGATGTCATGATTTTACTGTGTGTAAACGCCTTACTTGCAACCCACTTTGACACTTCTTTCTGCTGCAGGACCTTTTCTCTTTCACCTTCTTTGTGACCTGCCTCCTACAGCATGTTTTCTATGCTTTGGTGACAGGACAAAAGAACTCACAGGTTTCACAGGCTGGAAGGCACTTTAGTAACACTGCAACTTAATATTCACAAAGCTACAAGGTAGGGCCTGTTGAATGCTCACAAGTTGATGAATACACAAAACTTTAACCTCTCCATGTTATTCATTTGTGCAAACTAATAATTTTCTGAGCAAAGTTACAATTTAAATTCAAATTTGAAATCTCAAGGGAAAAGAGTCAGACACAGAAAGTGTTGAATTACCCCCTTATACAAAACTGCCATGGTGAAAATACACAGAGTATGTGGTAGATTATTCATTTGGATATGTTGGAAAACTGGAGAATTTAGAAGATAGGTTTTGTTTAGCAGCAAAATGGGATACTCAAAATGGATGAGGCTGTGGACTGTACATATTTTTAAGTGAATGACTAAGTAGAAATTAAGTTAGATGTTAGTACAGACGTCATAAAAGACAGTTCCTTCTTCACAATGGGCAAAACCACTGGAGAACTACTGGAGGCAGAGTGACTTACAATGAATGAAAGAAGGATGGGACAGAGGTAGAGACTGGAAGAAGAGGTAAGTAAAAAAGAAGGGGCATAAAAACAATAAGTGAAAAAAAGGATAAAAGGAAAAAGAATAAGAAAGGGAAGGGACAGAGAAATAAAACAAAGGAATGAAAAGAGGAAATAAAAAAAAAAAGCAAACGTGGAGGGGAGGGAGACTGCAGAGGAAAGAGGACAGATGGGCGGAGGAAGAGGACAGGCAGAGCCACTGTGCTGCTGCTGAGGGCGCCCAGCCTCAGAGCTCCCAGGAGAGGTGTGGCGGGAAAGGCCTCCTTCCGCTGTTCTGCTGATCCTGTCCCCAAGGAGAAACTGACAGGGTTTCCACCTTTCCTGGATCACTCTGCAGAGTCTCCACTGAGATGATTTCGAGTCTGAGCTGGACATAACTGACCGGGGAAGGCCAGAGAGCTTGCCCAACCCAGGTAGGTGATATCCACAGAGAGGCGATGTGCTGTCCCTCAGCACGGGGCCCTGAAGGTGGCAGATGACATGGAGACAGAGCAGGGGACAATGAGGACTAGCAGCCGATGACACCACGTGCCTGCTGAGTGGGATTTCTAGCTGTACGGGGTCCCACATGAGGGAAAATGGGGCAGGGAGAATCTTGCATGATTTTAGACTCACAAGGCCTCACAGAAACCCACTGTTGTCACCATAACTGAACAAACACATCCCAGGAGACAGCCACAAGGCAGACGCTGCCACAGAGGCTAAAATGTGTACTGTAGTTCAGAGCTGGGCAAACAGGCAAATAGTGGGCACAGCCCACGGCAATGAGCAAGAACGGAGCACAGTAGAGGGAAAGAACAAGCTGCTCTGGGGCGCCCAGGACACACAGGTGATGCAGAGCAGAGGCACAAGAGGCTGCCACCATGTGTGAGGACACTGGACACAGTTGGAAGGGAGCTGCCCTGGGAAAGCCGAGAGGCCGCAGAGGACAGACTGGGACAGGGCTCGGTGCTTCTGAGCAGGCGGGGCTGCTGCTCGCTGGGCTCCAGGACAGGGTGAAGACACAGTGCGGACACTTAAACTGTGACACCAACCAAATGACAGTTTAATAACTATGTTACTGAACAACTAAGTAGGCAGTGCGCTTTCTTTTTTCTCATCTACACAGGTACAATCGCCTTGACGTTCATCATAGAGAAGGCTAAACAGAGACACTGTATTAACTTCTTGAGACACAGATGTGAGCACTGGGGTTTTGTCAACGCCGACTGCAGGAAACGACCCGCATTTGTAGTGCTGCAGCAGGCGCGGGATAGCAGGCTAAAATATCATCAAGATGGTATAAAAGAAAGAGACAACAGGGAAACAAAAACTGAAAAGAAGCGATACGGGGCCAGCGGGCACGTCAGCTTCCGCACAGCGTCTCACTACAGGGTGAGCCGCGCTGGCCGTCAGTGCTTGGTCCCTCGGACCAGCCTCATGGAGGACCGCACTGCACGTGCAGCCCACTGCACCTTTCCAAAGAGGGTGTTTTAAAAGAAATTAAAAGTATAACAGAATTACCATTTGATGAATTTTAGATGGTGGAAATATTGTCAGAATTGTATAAAATTACAAAAATGCCCATGGAAGACATGAATGGCAGAGACTAAAATGTTAGAAAGGAACCAAATGATGATCCAAAATTCACACTGATTTATTGAATTTCTTCAGAGTAATCAGGAGTCCATTTGTATATGTCCCAACTGCTCAGGATGAAAATATTTATTCTGCAGGGGAAACATACAATTATGAACACAAGAATAAAAAGCATTCACTCATTTGAGCATAGCATTAAGTGTCTGTCATAAAAAAAATGGTAGGAAATAGAGCACCTTACATCATCAGGTTAATACAATCTTTACCTCAACCTAGAGAACATGTTAATAAGGAAAGGCAAATAAAGGCCCATCATGCACATGCAAGCTGACTTTCAAATCCTGGATAAAATTACCTAGCAAAGTGCAAGATGATATTAGCAGTGTCCCACGTCTGCATGCAGCTGAGTGGTGGCACAGTTCCCTAGCCAACTTGATGTCCTGGGTTCAATCTAAGTACCACACACGGGAAAGACCTGTGTAAACAGTAATGAACTGTGTTTCTTCATCTCATCAAAGGGTGTGTCAGTATAAAACTGCGGTGAAACTCACCATACCCACACACAAAACACCTGATCTCATTCATCAACTTTTGACATATTTTCTAAAACCCAATTTTTGTTAATTATTTGTGAAAGGTATATGATAAAGCAAAATAGTATAATAACTTGATAAACACATCAGAAAATGCACTAGTGCTACAAACAATGAGGACACGTACATGAGTTATTTTAAAATCAGAACTAAGTTGAGAATATCCACTGTCTCCACAAATATTCAAGTGTTACAACAGGACAACATGAGCAAGACAGACAAAAAGTGACAAAAAGATGAAAGAGATAAACTATGCTTGAATGATAAAAGAATCAAGATGTAAATCTTGAAAATAATAACACTTACTGTTGTGGAAGGCAAGATCAACTGCATAAAGGAAATAATGCTTCTCATAGTTTTAACACTGATTGAAACAATGACAATACAGTGAAGCTACATGATACACAGTCAGAACACAAAGCACAAGTAAATGTAGCTCCCAAATAATTTATCTTAAGGTCAGGACACAAAATAATCTACAAAGAAATCTGAAAGGTTGCCAATTAAGGACCAGTGTTTAGCAGATTATCAGTGAAACTAGCACAAACAAAAAAAATGTTTTCTTATTAGCTGAATTGGAAATACAAGAAGGGCTGGGGATTTAGCTCAGCGGCATAAGCGCCTAACTGGCAAGCATGAGGTCACCAGTTCGATCCCCAGTACCACAAACAAAGAAAGTACAAGAAGGTCCCTATGCCATGTAGATACGAGGAGTGCAAATTTTTTAACATGTGCAACACGTGCAAAGAGAAAAATCACACATAGAAACAGAGTTGGAGAAGATCTAAATATCACGAGAATCATGTACAGTTTCCAATTTGTGATACAGTATGCTAGGAATTGTTAAATAATTGTGAAATAATTCTAAATCGAACAAACCACAAAAACAAATGCA